AGACTGTAAGATTTTGAATTTCATTCAATTATCAGATCTCAAGAGGCATTAAAATCATGATAGAATGGTTTAATTGATTATTGCCTAAATGTGACACGTTAAAGAAGCCGTGATCCTTGGAATGGTAAGAAGCTCCTGGGAAGATGGCTCAGTTCTGAGTGGGCTGTTTAAAACAGATGCTTGAGAATTGTAAGGTACTCAGAGAAAATGTAGTAAACGAGTGTTGTAGTAGTTAATGTCTTAAGTACCTTATAAGGTCATGACAATCAGTAGGACAGAAACATTAAAATACTTAGCTTGGGAAGAATATGAAATAAATTACCAAGTCATAAAAGAGTGTAAGCAGTGTTTTTAATTTTTTCCCAGAAGAGTTGTTACGTGTGTGCATGTATGTGATTAATACACACATATATTACATTCTTTAACATGATATTCTTTATTATTTTAGATTAATCCTAGTGTAGAAAGAGTTCACGTCTTCCTCCAAGGTGTAGAAGGTGTGTGGTTCAGACATTTAAGTTAAGATAAGACAACTTTTGTGCGGTTTGTTTTTTGACAATTCTATGATCTTACTAGAGTTTTTAAAAACAAACAAGATCTGGGTGATGGCTCTTTGCAAATAAACACAAAGTTGAAGGAATAAAGAGTCTTGCCTAGTAGACGTGAAATCTAAAAATGAAGTTAAGATGGGTGAAGGAAAAGTGTAGGAGAACATCCAGAGGTAGAAGAGAATACTTTTGAGTGGCCATGTTTATGTGTCACTGTTAGAATTCTTGTACTGTAGAGTCTCAGAACCTGCTCTTAAGAGTTTGAGATATATATCTTTAAGGATCAAAATGACACAAAAAGTAAAATTCTCTGTTTATGTGAGTATAAGCATTTGTGTAGTGGTGTAACACTGTCACTTTCAACAAATTTTTTCCATAATTTTCAAAGTGTTTGAAATACATTAAGATTTATGAGTTTACCTGATTTAGGGGGCAATAAACACTCATTTAAACATAATCTATCTTTAGAAATAACTCTTACATTGAATTAGATGAGTTTATTTAAATGAATCTTTTTGCTCTTAAGTGAGAATATTTATTTCTGTAACTATTCAACACAAAAACAATAAAGTACATGTAATGAAACAGAACATTCGTTGAACAATTACAGAGAGCTGACTGATGTGTCAAGTGCTTGATAGGGGTTCTCATTTACATCACAAACAGCTAGATGAGGTGATTACTGCATTCACAGCTGGGAGAGAGATATGGAACTTGCTGGAAGTCGCCTACTAGTAAGGGATGAGTTGAGAATAGAGCACAGGAAGTCTGACTCCAGTTCCCCAGGTCTCTATTGTAACTCTTTATTAGCCTGGGTCAAATCTGTGGCATAATGAATAACTCATACTTCTACATATCTGGGTCACGTAGTGTGATTTAGTAGTTTTAGAATGACACGAGCCTTGAGAGAATGGAAGAATAAGGAAATGAATTAATTAATGTCTGTTGAGCTGAAAGCAATCTTTTTTTGTTGAGCAAAGATGCAACAATTGTCCTTTACAGTCCATTGATAAGTGCATTCCTTATACATATCCTGATTGTGTTCAGCAATTATTTTTATTTTATTTGAACTTGAATTTATGTAGTGCCACAGATTTAATAAAATATGCAAACATACACATACAAGACACAGAGAGAGAGAAAAAGAGAGAGTGAGAGAATGACACTTATTTTCTATTTATAGTAGAACAAATAATCAAATAACAATGGCTTAGAACTACAGAAATCTGCAGTAGATTATTGTTTTTTATAGATTAGAATTCTGACATGTTCTGTTAGGCTTTCACAGGGCTCAAATCTAAATGCTGGTATAACTGTGTCCCTTCTGGGACTCTGTGGAAAATACATTTCTCTTCCTTTTCCAGCCTATTTCTACATCTGTCACTGCCCTACTCTCCACCTTCATAGTCAGAAACACAAGGAAAAGTCTTCATTTTGCAATGCTGGGATTTTTCTTTTCTTTTTCCTTCAATATTTAAAACAACATATTGAAAGACCCCTACCCAGGGCTCCCTAGGAAAAGAAAAGCAAGGCCAGGCTGTTGCCTAATGAAAAAACCCAGACCAGGTGCCTCGCCCAGCTGGCAGGATGTCAAACAGGATCTGTGGTCACCAGAGCAGTCATGGGACCCGGATAATAATTGCTGAAGTGTGCCAGGGTCTTTTATGTGGCAATACCAGGACACCTAGTCCTTGGCAACTACCTCTGCCCCCAGTTGTGTCTATGATCACCATAGTAGTCATGGGACCCGGATAATAATTGCTGAAGCGTGCTGGGGTCTTTCATGAAGTAATACCAGGAAACATAGTCCGTGGAACTACCCCTGCCCCCAAGATGAGCCAATGATATGCCTGTTACTTCTGTAACCATTAAAACTCTACAAATATTGTGCTCCCTGCAAGCCCGGTATGCTCTGCACCCAAGTTGCAGTAGTATTCGCAGGCACCTGTGTACTCAATAAATCACGTCTTGCATTTGCAGCCAGTGGTCTGGCCCCGGTTCTTGGGCAGAGGGTTCGGTTCAGTGCCCGGCGCTTTGATGCCGAGGTCTTTCAACATGTTTATTCTAGTCTCACCAAAATAATTCATCTTAATGGTTCAATTTTAAAGTCCTTAGGGTTTTTTAAAGATTTATTTATTTTATTTTATGTGTATGTGTTTTCCCTGTATGGATTTATGTGCCCTATGTGCATACCTGATGCATGCAGAGGTCAGAGTCGGGCCCAGGAAACCCTGGAACTGGAGCTGCAGATGTTTGTGTGTGGCCAGGAGGGAATTGAACCTGGGTCCTCTGGAAGAGCATCAGTTAGTATTAGCCACTGAACCCACTCCCTAAACTAATTCTTACAATATTTCATTGTTGTTGGTTTGCTTTCTTTTTTTCCTTTTTTAAAACATTGAAAATAGTTTTATTTTCAAGCAATATGTTCCAATTACTGTTTCCTGTCTACTGGCTCCTCCCTACATCTCTGCCCACCTAAATTTACACCCTCTTTTTTTGCTAACTCTCATTAGAAAATAAAAATTAAAAAAAGAAAAGTAATAATGAAATAATATAAAATGAAAAAAATAAACCTAATTAGGACAAAGCAAGCAAATGAACAGTAAAACAAAGAGAAAAAAAGGCTAAAAAGGTATTAGAAACAAAGATACAAAGACTCCTACATTGGCAAACACAGAAATTCCATAAAAACACAAAACCAGAAACCAGAATATATAAGCAAAAGGTATGTAGGGTAAGAAAAAGAATGAGACAAAGAACAAAAATGTCCAGACAAAGCACTGTGAACCAAAAACATAAAAAATTAAAAAATCAAAACCAAAAACCAAAGCCCTCTGAAATACCATTGAGTTAATTTTTTGTTGTTGTTGGCCATCTACTTCTGTACATGAAGCCTGGCCTCAAGAGTGCTTTGTACACACAGTGAGACCTCCTTGGAGACCTGGTTTTTCGTGTGTGTGTGTGTGTGTGTGTGTGTGTGTGAGTGGTTACCAATTGGAGACAGCGTCTAGGTTACAGACCTGCGCAGGTGTGTGCATAATGAGGTCCGAGTGCTGAGAACTGCGCAGGCGGTGCATGCAGCCGCCGTCGCTGTCAGTTCCTAGGTGCATCAGTCCAGCCGGGGTCAGCAGGCCTTGTTTCCTGGGTGGCTTCCATCCCTTCTGGCTTTTACAAGTTTCCACCTCCTCTTCTGCACAGTTACCAGAGCCAGGAGGGGAGGGAGTTGATGGAGATATCCCATTTACGCTTGAGGGTTCCAAGGTCTCTCACTATCCTCGCATTTTACACATGTGGGTCTCTGTGTTTATTCTCATCTACTTCAGCTGGACGCTTAACTGATAGTGGCTGAGCCAGTCACTGACTTATGAGTATGGCAGAATGCCCCCGGAAGTCTCTTTGCTGCTATGTTCCTTTAGTAGAATGGCAGTATTTTAGGGTCCCCCTAGGACCCTGGACTATCTGGTCTCAGATTCTTGGTCACCCAAGCAATGTCTGGGATGAGTTCTATCTGCTGGAGCCGGCCCTAAATAAAACCAGGAATCAGCTGGCTACTCCCATAAGCTTTGTGTGGTTATTTCATGAGCACATCATTCAGGGCAGCGTTGTAGACTGGAAGGTATGTGCTGAGGTGGTGTTTGCCACTCTCCTTTGATAGCGTGCCTAGTACTCCCCAGTATCCTGAACACTAGCCAGTAGAAGTGAAAGCTCTAGGTAGGCATCAGCTTGGCTTTTCATTGTTCAATGAATTATGTAGGTGTTGTTTACAGCAACAGAGCCTTTTGCTGCTCTATTTGTAATAACCAGAAATTGAAACCAGACAAGATGTACACCAATGGATGAATAGATAAAGGAAATGGGGTACATTTACAACTCCGTTGTTGGAAACACTGGAATCATGAAATTCACAGATAAATGGATGTAACTAGAAAAAAGTCATCCAGGTTGAGGTAACTCAGATTCCAAAAGACAGATATGGTATGTATTCACTTACATGTGGATGTCAGCTGTTGAGTTTTCTATAAGTAAGCTGCAATCCGTATAACCACAGAGGTTCAGTATAGAGTTAGAAACTGGGGCAGGCTGATTGAATCAAGCCACCCCCCCCCCGCTTCAAGGTTGAGCAAGGCATCCCACCATATGGAGTGGGTTTCAAAAAGCCAGCTCAATGCATGAGCATTTTTAGGGAGGAGTTTTTTTGCCTACCCCAAGCCTTTACTAAGCCTATACCCTGATCCCAGAGATGGGGTGAACCCTCAGTGCTTTACCTAGAGCAGTTTGCAGGTATTTTCAGGTAATTGAAACACAGTACACCGGTGTCAGGACTCAAGTAAAAGCAATCAGTAGCGCAGAGGCAGCAACCATGGTCAAGAGAGAGATGGAAAGATACTGCCTGCAACAGTTATTGTTGACATGATTATTTGAGTTTTTTCTTTTTTATCATTTGTCATCCAGGTTCTGAGACTCTGGGATATTCAACACCAGCTGTCCATTCAAAGGATAGCTTGTTCTTTCCCCAAAAGTCAAGACTTCAGGTGCCTTTTCCACTTTGATGAAGGCCATGGGCGACTTTTCATCTCCTTCAATAATCAGCTTGCCTTGTTGGCCATGAAAAATGAAACCAGCAAGAGGGTGAAGAGCCATGCGAAAGGGGTCACCTGCGTCCTTTACCATTCCCTCCTGAAGCAGGTAAATGATAAAGTTATTCTCTGCTACCGTCCTGACATATTCCCAAGGCCAGAGGTTCCTTTCCTCAATTTTACTGAGTGTAAAGCCGAAGGTGATAGTTGCCTTCTGTTCAAAGAGAAATTTCCCCGATGAAGGTTATGGACCACACTGATCAATGGGTATAATAATAAATATTTAAAGTGTAGTTGGGGATTAATTATGTTACTTTTGTTAAGTGGCAAGTTGTAGCTTCTTCCATCATGAACAGAACAAAGACAACAATACGCATGCCAAAATGGGTGGGGGAAAGACGTCGGGGTGCTTCGCAAAGAAATGCAGGCAGCTAAGTAACGCTGACAGTGGGAGAACCAGTCTTCCCCAGAGAAGAGCACACTATCTGGTTAGCCAATATCAAATTGTCATCGGCAGAACCGTATATAACAGTCACATTATATAGAAGAGCACGTCATATTTAGGAACATATATTTTAATGAATAAATAAACATGCAACAGCAATCAGTGAAAAAAGAGGAATGGATTTTAAAGAGGGTAAGGAGGGGCTTTGTGGGAGGTTGGGGGGAAGAAAAGGGAGAAATAATGTAATTGTATTGCAATCTCAAAAATATAATTAAAACACACACTGGTGAATCTAATAAACAGCACAGTGGCAGGAAGTGGTTGAACAGTCACATGCTCTTCTGCGGTACGTGTGTGTGTCCAGGTACATCCAAAGGGGAATTACATTTTCTGTCTGTCCACAACAGCGCTAACAGAGTTTGAAGGAATCATAGTATTTGTGTTAAAGCCAACACAGCCCACAATGCAATCATACTTATCTTCAGGTTTTGAGCCAAAATGCAGGTAAACCTAGTTATAAAATTCCCTTTTACGATCACCACCCTCTTGTATCCCCATGGAAAGTTCTGAAATATGCATGAAATGTAATTAGCAAAGATCCCTTTTTTTTCCCAGCATATTTTGCACCAGTGGCTGAAAGTGGCAGCGTGGAATGTATTCATAAGAAAATGATTCAGTTAAATGTGATTCTACTTGGTATGCAGCTCCAGTGTTGTTTGTCTCTCCACCACTTTAATGACACTGCAGCCTTTGCTTATGGGATCGCTACCTGCATCTCAATGAAGCCCAGCTCCTCAGGAGCCTGATGCCACACAGACTCTGCCCCGTCTTAGAGGACAGAAAAGTCCTCCAGCCAGGCAAGCTGGGAGTGGGGTCAGGGCTGAGTGCTGTGGAAGGAACAGGCACCACAGGAGTTTAGTCTCCTGCCGTTGTCACCCCAGGCCCAGTGGAAACGGTACAGAGGGAGAGATGCAGAAAGCCATTCTCCAGCTTGTGGCCACTCAAACAATACCTGCAGCCCATTCTTGCTCTTCAAGGCTCAGGGAGCTTCTGCACTGGCTCAGAAGCATGGATGGCACTTCGTTAGTAATGAGTCACTGTGTCATGCCACCACTTCAAACACTGTTTTCTGGTTATTCTAGCAGATAAAAATCCTTGACAAAACAATTCAGAGTGAATTCCATCTGCACAGGAACATTCTCCCGCAAATGTTTTACTGAGCTTCATGATGGCAACTGGTTAATTTGGCTCCCTGCTGGGTGCTGAGAGCTGGCTGCATTTGTTTCCCAGAGAACATTCTGTTAATTGAAATCTGCAAAGTTGAAAAAGCCATGTTTGTGTGTCGATCTTTAAGATCTTGTGTTGCCTAGCTATAAAATGAGCCATAGTCCATGAGGAATTCAGCTGGCAGGACACAGAAAAGAACAGGAGTCTTCCACTTGGGAGTTGAAAATAAAACCAAGGCTACACAGGCAGGCTATAGAGACAAAGGAATATGACCATGTGACAGGCGGTGCAGGAAGCATCCCTGCAGAGTTAAGTGTGTCTCTATTTGTTGCTGTGTCTAACATCATAAATAACTAAAATTTAACTCCAAAGCACACAGGTCTGTGTATTACACCATCAGTCTTTCTTAGCGACTAAACTATCGAAAATACACCTTAACATTACATCACAGGAATGCATCCTAGAGAAAACTGTACCACTAAAGTCCTTAACAAGTTACTACTTTAGAGCAGTTGGACAAAGCAAATAATATGTTTTTGAAAATGTATCAGGTGTAAGAAATGAAGCAAAGATTAGTAAGCTGTCATCCTTATCTGGTGACCCCTAGTAGCTCAGGGAGGCTGTTCTGTCGGGCAGACCTTTATCACACTCTCTGACTCATTGTTAGGTAGATACTCACACAGAATGGAAAACCAAAGAAGAGAGAGATGAGGAAGTGAGCAATGGTGCCTTGAGTAGGAGTTGGGGGACCTTTCAGCTGTGCCCTGCAAGCTGCCATGGGAATCTCAGAGAAAAAGACTCCAGCCAGAAGATACAACAGGAGCGCCAGAGAAGCTTGGTGTGCACTGTGAATTTACAGGGACAGATTTAGTTTGGGAGTTCTTACAGGAGCCTAGATAGGGTACAGAGCTTGAAGCCAGAGTATGGATGCTGTTCACTGCTATTTTTGTTTGGTGTTGGAAATGCAGCACAGAATCCAGGTCAAAATGGTTCTTATATTGTGATCTCAATCCTGGGAGTCTTCAGGGAGTATGAGATGTTAAGAGTATTTTTTACGTCAGTTCTTTCCCGGCTCTGCCTCAGAGCTTTCTGGAGGATGGATGATGGATGATGACAGACTTGCTCTGTCAGTTAAGGGAATGCATGCTCTTGTATTTAAAGCTAACACTTTAAATGTGCAATGCGATAAATTAATACATATATAAATGCAAATTTGTCTCCATTATTTATATCAGTTTATATATTTTATTGAGTATGCATGAACGCCATTTGGATTACATGATGATTTATAAAACTGGAAAGAGATCTCAAGACTAACAGTTTCGAGAACTGCTGAGGTAGGAAGGTGGGGTTCGGGTGCTGGGCAGGTTACTGACCTCACTTTTCAAAATGTGTGCCTGAGAGCATTCAGAATTGACTCAGCGCTGTGCCGTTCCAGGATTGCCTTGGTGGTGGCTAGCTGCTGGTCCCTTCAATGCGATCCTCTGCCTCTAGCTCTGTGTACTGGAAAAGTTCTCCCAGCTCCATAGCTCTTCCCATGACTGCCACTGCTTTGAGGAATCTGGCTTTCTTAGTCACTTCCTAGAATTCCTTATATCTTTTTGAACGTGACAGGTGATCAGAGTTAAAAAGTCCAGAATGTAACCCTTGGTCCCTACTCTCTATCTCCTTTTGTGCCATCTTGAAGACTTTTGTTTTGTCTAAATTTGACAAGAATCTTCTCTTGTCATTTTAGCATTTTCCCACATCTCAATGTTATTTCATCCCAGCTGGGCTTCAGAGGAGAACTCCCTTGGCCTTGTATGAAAGTGACTTGGCAACTTTCTGTTTCTGAGAATTTACTTGATCGCTGCCCCTTTCCATTTCCTATCGAAGAGAAAGTGCTAAGTCATTGTTAAAAGCAACTGCACACTCTCACAGCCAGCCAGAGAGCAAGAGGAACCTGATGAGGAAGAACACACAGACCTTCTGAACAAGGCCGCTCTGATAGTGTCTGGAGGGAAGGGGGGGCGGACGGACGGGATAAGGGGTCAGTGGGGGGGCATGGGAGGATGGGAGGGAGCAGAACTGGGATTGATATGTAAAGTAAGACTGTTTCTAATTTAAATAAATACTTATATATAAAAAAGAGGAGGGTCGTAATCATGAAGCAGAAAATTTGCCTATTCTACTTCATATGACATTTAGAAATACGTATTTTAAAATTTCCTACAATTATGAGTTTTTAAGAAAAACTATCAGAGCTGCCTTGATCAGAAGGTCTGTCTGTGTTCTTCCTCATCAGATTCCTCTTGCTCTCTGGCTGGCTGTGAGAGTGTGCAGTTGCTGTTAACAGACTGTGTATGACTTAGCACTTTCTCTTCGATAGGAGATGGAAAGGGGCAGCCATGAAGTAAATTCTCAGAAACAGGAAAGTGCTAAGCTATTTTCATGCAAGGCCTCCCATGAGGAATCACCAAAGTCTGTCACATCATTTTTGGCAGGGCCTAGGCCCTCCCCTGTGTATCTAGGCTGAGAGAGTATCCTTCCATGGGGGAATGGGCTCCCAAAGCCCATTCCTACACTATAATGCAAGTTCATGTGCTTTTTTACAAAACAGGAAGTCAATTGTCTTTTGCCTTTAATGTTTTGTAAACAAGTTAAACTGTTGTCAGTGAATTTTGACTTAAGTAATGTGTACTATTCTCGTTAGAATAACTAACTTGTCCCCCTCCTGGGGAGAAAGGGAGGCAGGAGGAGAAAAGGAGGTCTGAGACAGAGGAGGAACAGAGGAGGGCAAGAAAGGAGATGCCTTGCTAGAGGGAGCCAGTATAGGTTTGGAGAGAGGTTTGGCATGGGGGAAAAGTTAGGGGATCCACAGGGATGACCCAACTAAGTACCTAGGCAGTGGTGGAGAGGCTGCCTTTGATGCTCTTCCTCTGTAATAAGATTGATGACTTCCTTAATTACCTTCCTGGAGCCTTCATCTAGTAGCTGATTGAAGCAGAAACAGGTACCCACAGCTAAACACTGAGCCATACTCCTGGAATCCAGTTGTAGAGAGGGAGGAGAGATGATCAAAGGAGTCAAGACCATGTTGGAGAAACCCACAGAAACAGTTGACTTGACCTAGTGAGAGCACAGAGATCCCAGTTGTAAGCTGGGGAACCAGCATTGGACCGAACCAAGCCCTCTGAATGTGGGTGCCAGCTAGGAGGCCAGGGCAGTCTATGGGACCTCTGATAGTGGAGCCAGTGTTTCTCCCTAGTGCACAAATGGACTTTGGAAGCCCATTCCCTATGGAGGGATACTATTGTAGCCCAAATACATGAAAGAGGGACTAGGCCCTCCCCCCAAATGAAGTGAGAGACCTTGTTGGTCCCTTGTGGAAGGCCTCACTATCCTTTGGAAGTGAGTGGTGGGTGGGTTGGGGGCCAGTGGGGAGCATGGGCGAATGG